CTTTCCTGCCTGAATCCAGCACACCTCCCTTCAGGTCTTCACACAGAAACCTCTTCTTCTCCAGGGTAAACAGCCCTACCTCTCGGCCTCTTCGAGCGTGACAGATGCTGATCCTGTAACCATGTCCATGGTGCAGAGTTGGACTCAGTGCCCTGTGCCACGTCCCTCCCATACTGCGCGGTCCAGAACCAGACACAGCCCTGCAGGTGTTCTTTCTGATAAAAACCAGGATGCAGTTTGGCCTGCTTTCCCAAAGGGCATTTTGCTGGCTTACATTCCTGGTGTCTACCAGGACCCCAGCATCCTTTCCCGTGAACTCGTTTCCCAGTCTGTCACCTCCCCAGCCCACACCAGAGAATGGAGCTGTGACTCCAACCGGGCAGGAGCTGTTCCTCTCCTGGGGCAGGAGCTGTGACTCCCCAGGGACAGGACTCATCATTTCCTGTGACTGAACTCTGCAAAGCTCCTGTCTGCCCATTTCCGCAGCCTGCCAAAATCCATCTCAACCACAGCACAATCATCTTGTCCGTCTCCCTTTCCTTCCCAGTAAAAAAACAGATGTTCTGTATTTCTACCTTGGCTTCCATGCCTCCCATTCCCACCCGGGATTTGGTGCCAAACGTTACAGACTGCTGGTCTCCTGGGTAGAAGATGTCAATGAGCTTTGCATCATCAGACCCTGGGGGGCTGTCAAAGAGTCCTGAAATAAATAATAAAACCTGTGAGTGTTACATACCCTCACCTCCAAACCCACCTATGGGAAAAAAATACCCCTGAGGCTGGTAAGCTGTGTTCCACTTCACAGGAGTGAAACCTGAACCCCGCTCTTTGTGGGGCAGAAAGCATGGAACGCTCACCAGGCAGACTCAAGAAGTACAGCTTCATGGAAGAACATAAGGAACAGGAAATCGAAGCCCCACGTGCTGAAGAGCAGTGTGCAGGCTGGGGGTAGTGGCGTTTGACTGAGGTTCCGGGGCTTGTTCACAGCTTTGAATTGTTCAGAATCAGGGCTTCCATATACAAGCCCACAGCTGAAGAGGCAAAGGAACGTCCTCCTCACCACAACCTCAGATGCTATTCTTGCATGCTGGGTTGTGCGGTGATGAGCTGGGCAACCGAGCACCACGTAAGGAGGGTAACTATCCAGTTCTGCTACCAGGGAACACAGCGCAGGGTTTGTACAATCTACTAATGTTACATAACTGTGTTCAGAGTTGACTGAGGTTTTGGTTTACCTAACACGTTACACCTCAGCTCTTACCACCACACTTCGCAAAAATTCTGCGTAAGCCAATACTGGCATCACAAACCAGAGAGCACAAGTGCTGACCATGTGTATCCTTCTCCAACAGCTTGGAAAGGAGAGGACACACATCTTCCCATGAACCAGATGTCGCACTGAGTTAATAAGCTTGGAGGACAGGGGTGGCGGGTGCTCATTTTTTTTTACAAGTTGTTGTGACTACTGCTTTTATGTGCTGTTCTCAGTCATTTCAATAAGACTCAACCATGAAATCCAACTGAATCTGCTAAAAGAAACTGCGTTTATGCAAAGGCACCTCCCTCCTCCTCAGAGCCCATAGTATGTGCCAAAGTCCAGGACCCACTGGACGAAACCCATCTGGAGAAGATGAAAAGACTGTGTGACTTGGGTGATGTCGACTGCACTGATCTGAAACCGTACTTACTACCCTCCTCTCTCTAGAAAAGGAATTTCAACATCCACAGGTGACAGACATGCCACGGCAGCACAGCCCAGACGACCAGAGCAGCGTAAGCCAACGTCTGGGAGACAGGAAAGCTAGCACATTCCAAGTGTCTGCAAGGCAGTGACCAGAACCTGTACCCGCAATTCACTGGAAAACAGAACCTGCTGCCAGAAGAAACAAGCTACTGCAGAACAGTGTTTGGCTTATATTCCTGAGGCTAAACACAGAGCCTTTATCCTGCACAGAACTTATGACTGTGTCATGCAATTCCGAGAAGCCAGCAGAGGTACCGCAGCACGTATGGTATTCTGGGTGCTGGAACGAGTCCCACATGCATTCTCACCCGCCCAGACCCAACAGCGTGGCAGAGCCTTTGGCTTATGCAACAGCATCAGCACTGGGTATATGCCTTAGGGAGTTACTGTGACTACCCCTGGAGAAGATATGAACTGAAGAGACCAGTAAAACCCGAATACAGGTTGGGCTGAGTATCTGATGGACTTCAATAACACAAGACAGTAAAGAAACAACTCACGAACCTTCTACATCTGAGAGAACAATGAGAAGATCAGTTTTCATTTCCACAGCCAGTCGTGCTGCCAGACTGTCGTTATCCTTCACGCTAATCACCTGCAATGCACACGCATATCACCAGTGCTGAACAGCAGGAGGGACTAGGAAATACTTGGCTGCAACACACAAAAGCAAGTTACTTCTCAGCACTACCAAGTTGCTCTGAGCTACTTTGTTCACACCCACTGCAAACTCAGGAGCTGATCTCTGTGTGTCCGCACGCTTTTGGAACGCAGTAGAGCGGGATCAAAACAACAAGCAGCGTGATCCGGATCTGCATTCCCTACCCTGGTGCCCAGTGACAGGCCAAGGGGTACTAACTGATCCTGCTCTAAGTGGGGATGCTGGACTAGACCTGCAGAACTCCCTTCAACTTCAAATACTCAGTGACAACCAAGCTGGGCATGCTTGCTTTTGGCAAAGCAGACGTAATGTGTCCTGCTTCCACCCCATACCGCTGCGTCACGCCCCGAACAGACAGGTCAGCAGAGCCTTCCAGTGCCCTCTGTCCATGTTACTAATGTTGTATGTCTGCTTCCCTACTGCAGGCTTCAGCAGTCCCCAGTTATGGCAACAGTAAAGGACATGTTAGTGCTGCACCATCTACAAGCAGGATCCACCCCCTTGCAATACTTTACCCACATTTACCCCCTGCAGATCACTGTTTGGTTCTGGAGGTGGAACAACAGCATCATTAGTGTTGATTATAGGGACAATATTCATTCTTAAAAGCTCATGCAATGTTCCATTTAAGTTCCGACGCTTCTGTTCATCGTGGAAATCCAGGTTGGTGACTAGAATCTAAAAGGAGGAAAAAAAATAATACTTAGCCTACCACTTTTGCTGAGAACATCATCATAAATGTGTGTATTAACATAACGATCGTAACAGATCAGGCACACGAGAAACATAAGCCACATGTAAAGGATAAAAAATACAAGCAAGAAACATTTCTTTCCCCACCATTTTCAGATTTGTGTCTGGACTTCCACTGGAGCCTATAATGGCCCTTCTCAGGCTGACAGATCATAGGCTCCAGGAATCACCTTGGGAAAAAACAGAAGCAGAACACAGACACTGATGGTAACTACTAAGACCCTAAACAATTTGATAGACTACCCAAGTCACCACCTTTCCTGTTTTCCCACCCCATGTAATGCTTCTGCTGTCACACGCAGATGGGATGCTTTGTCTCCAGACTTCCCTTCAGTTCTAGAAGACAGCAGCATGGGACAGCAGCATAAAATATGGGAAAAACCCAAATTCCATCACTGACTGAAGTAGCACATCACTTCAGGCAAGACGCACCCCTTACCTGAGCTGCACAGATGCTGTACTGTGTGAACATGGCCTCGTACAGAGCCATGAGCCCACTCTGGCCAGCCGCTGCGCAGGCTCGGGCCTCCAGGACTGGAACAGCCTGTGAAGATAATGACGAGCCGTCAGGCCAGGACTTGAGCAGGTACCTCCCAGCACCGGGGACAAGCACGACTGCCACCAGCCACTCACCATGTCTTTTAGCTGACTCTGGCCCGAGTGAAGCGCTTGCCTCACGCTCTGAGAAAGCAAGATCTCATGACGCAACCGCTGCTTTCCAAAAGCTACAGCACCACTGGTGACGATCATCATCTCTCGGCCCTGATTCTGCAGCACTGACACCTGCAAGTACAGAACGTAAGGAACAAGGCCTGGAGTAGGATCACGGCAAGCTTGACAGTCCTGGCTGTTACAGGTATCCCTATGCTCACCACTACTTGCTGAGACAAGCGTTTCGCTTTATCCATGGAGGCAGAGAGCAAGGCAACTGCCCCGAGATACCCCGTACACCTTCCCAGCCACGCAGGGGCTATGCAGGGAACTGCTTGCAGTCTGCAGCTTCTGCTGAACTTCCTTTTCACAACACCAGTTTTTATGACAGTGTCATGCTTGAATTTTCCCAATACATGGTAACACTTCTCTACCCCTCACCCTGCCACCTCCACTGCTACAGATAAGGAAAGATAAGATGGGAACAAGCTGTAAAGTAGCAGCTGTACCTTCCACCAGCCTTCTTATTCACAGTCCATTCCCCAAGCTGCCATTATACAGTAACCTTGTGTCATGCAATCACGGAACAGTTTGGTTTAAAGGGACCTTCAAGCC